CCATTTCTGCATGGGAATGTCAAGCATGGGAAGAACTTGGACAGATACTTTGAATAGAAATGTATTTTGCCTATTAGGACCGCTCATTGTTTATCGCCTGGAGTTTCGGAGGACGTTTGTTCTGTCAAGATAAAATTGACCTGATCCCCTGCACCAAGTGAACGTTTGTGCGCGAAGTTTAAATATTATAGATGAGCCTTGGCAAACTGGATAGTTCCATCTTCGAAATTCTCTTAATCAAAAAAAAAATATATGAATTTACTTACCCCCTTTTCCACTCCAAGATAATCAAACCCTGTTCTGCTTTGCATCCTATTTGGCTCCAAGATCCTTTCAGAATTACTGAGTTCGCAGGTAAACGTCTTATGGATCGAATCCCTTCCAAAGTTGAATGAAAGGCAACTTTGTGGATAGTTTCGTAGACACTTGAGAGCACAGTCCATTTCTCGCTTCACGGGCTTGATAAAGGTAATGTTGCCCACTAGTGACGTGCTTCGTATTCTGTAAAATGCCACTTCTTTGCGGATTTGGTTGTCATTGGGGTTTGCGATAGCAAATATCATATTTAACAGAATGAAAAGAACCAGAACTGATATCTTGGCTCTGAATTCGAGGATATATCCACGGAGAACCATGTTTAAGGGAAGGAAAACGTAACAAGGGAAATTTGCGATCACCAACTTTTTCCTTGGCTAGACAGTCTATGTAGAAATGGAACAAAGATCTCGGTCATTTCGTGAAAGCGTTCCATATCACAATTTAGAAAATATTTACATGACTACTCTCTATAACGGTCTATAAATAGAATTCTATAAACTGGTATATTTTGTTGTATATTATATATTTTTTCAATGAATTTCCATTTTCTTATTTGGATACATTTTTATCCTCCCTTCGTTTATTATGCAAAGGAAAAAATGGATTAATCCTTAAATGTCAGTGTAAACTATCTGCATGGTATAATAAGCCGCAATCATCACTCGTGCCCTGGTTAATGCACAACTGTTCAGTCCTGTTCGCAGATAACACGCTAAGCAATAGTCAGAGAGTAAAGTTATCCCACGACTCGAAGAGAGAAAATAAAGTGATCCTTGCACCCGCCAAAAAACCTAGAAACAGTCCATATTCAATTTCAAGGCCCCTTTCCTCAAATGAGGTTTCAGCCTAATCCCACATTAATTCCATGAACAACATGGATGGCGCGTGAACAATCACCAATAATATAAGCAACGAAAAAATAATAATAATAAAAGATAAGAATAGAAGGAAAACATAATAAAGGACATTTGCGCTCACCAACATTTTCCTTGGCTGGACAGTCTATGTAAAAATGGAACAGCGAGATCGGCCATTACGTAAAACCGTTTCTCATCTCAGTTCAAAGAAAATCTACAAGACTACTGTCCAACGAAATAGAATTCTGTAAACTGATATATTTTCTAAAGACTTCATTTTTCAGAGAATATTGGCTTTCTTATTGACAAACATTTATTTATATCCTAAGTTTATAATGCAAAGACAAAATGAAATGATCCATCAGTGTCAGTGTACACTTTCTGCATCGTAAAACTGGCCGCGATCATCACTCGTGCCCTGGTTAATGCACAACCGTTCAGTCCTGTTCAAATCAAACAACCGATAAATCTGAAATAGGCTCATAGGTGTATGATATACGGCCATAGTGTTCTGGCAAAAAGACTGTCATATCATGTCACATGAAAAAATGACTCAACATGGCTAGCCTGCATTTAAATTTAGTTAAATTCAGAATGAATAAAACTTGTTCTCAGCCCCAATCTGTCGGTGCGGTAGACACGTATTCCAGAATCGTTTGAAAATCCAAGCATTGGTCACTACGAAAAATAATTTATGTGAGATATTTATGCAGTTTAATGGAGTTAAAAATCAACTTATGCTCACCTGAGTGCGACATACGAGGGCGAAAACCAGCATTCTTACAGCCTCGAGTATAAGATCTGGTTAACTTGGAAATAATAGGATTCCGTCCCTGAATAATTAACGAGTAGTGAATAAAAATATGACATTGTATGGCTGTAGTAAGGAGTAGCTTCGTGTTATTTTGTAAAAAAAAATGGGTAAAAGAGTCTTTCGATATCATTGATAACCACTATCGGCTTTTGAAATAGAGATAATTAAATTTATATGTATGGGGAAAATTTCGATCCATTCCCACAGCGAGGTAGATAGACCTAGACCTTGATAGATTGGGACGTCACTTTTGAATAAATATCGGTTTTCTCATTTGAACACTTTCATTTCCTCCCTACGTTTATCATGCATGAATAATTAATGAGTAGTGAATAAAAATATGATATTGTCTGGTTTTGTAATGAGTAGCTGCGTGGTGTTTTGAAAATATAAGTAATAGAGTCTTTCCATTTTATTTGAAATAGAGATTATTATATTCTACGTATGGGGAGAATTTTGATTCATTCCCTCAACGGGGTAGCTAGAGTGATCATATTTCCAGAGAGCTATTATTAATTTCGTGTCATAGTTTTTTATAATATACTGTTAGTTGCCAACAACTTCATTCTCAGTAGTAGGGCCTCTAGTTCACTCTATACAAACTTCATGGTTAATTAGTCCACGAAGAACCATGTTTAAGGCTATGAACCGTTTAACTTGGAGAAGAAATAACTAAGTCGTGGGTGAAATATCGGTCAATTATGGGCCTACACTGGGAAAAAGAGAAATTTAATGAATGTGCATAGTAAGATAACACGCTAAGCAATAGACAGAGAGTAAAATATCCCTCTACTTGAAGGGTGAAAATAGAGTGATCCATTCACCCGTCCAAAAAACTTCGAAACAGCCTATATTCAATTTCGAGGTCCCTTCCCACGAATAAGGTTTCAGCCTAATCCCACACTAACAACATCAATGCCGTCCGAACAATCAGCAATAAGCGAACAAAAAAAAAAATAACAACAAAAAAATGGAACTAAACTTAGCAAGGGAAATTTTCGATCACCAACTTTTTCCTTGACCAGATAATCTATGTAAAAATGGAACATCGAGATCGGTCATTTCGTAAAATCGTTCCATATATTGCAGTTCAAAAAAAATCTACATGACTACACTCTATTACTAAATAGAATTCTGTGAACTGATATATTTTCATAAGACCTTAGTTTCCATGAATATTGGTTTTCTTATTGAACACACATTATTTTTTTCCCTACGTTTATTATGCAAAGACAAAATGAAATAATCCTTGAATGTTAATGTAAACTTTCTGCATCGTATTATAAGCCGCGATCATCACTCGTGCCCTGGTTAATGCACAACCGTTCATTCCTGTTCAAATCAAACAACCAATATATATGAAATAGGCTCAGAGGTATATGATATACGGCCATAGTGTTCTGGCAACAAGAATGATTTCTTCAATTCTTCAGTTTTCTATCACATAAAAAAATGACACAACATAGCTAGTCTGCATTTAAATTTAGTTAAATTCAGAATGTTTGAAATTGTTCTCAGCCCCAATTCGTCGGTGTGGCAGACTCGTATTCCAAAATCATTTGAAAATCCAAGCATTATTCACTACGAAAAATCATTTATGTGAGAGATTAAAGCAATTTAATGGAGTTAAAAATCGACTTATACTCACCTAAGTGCGACATGAAAGAGCGAAGACCAGCATTCTTACAGCCTCGAGTATAACATCTGGTTAACTTAAAATAATGGGATTCCGTCATGAATAATTAACTAGTAGTGAATAAAAATATGATATTGTCCAGCTTTGTAATGAGTAGCTGCGTGGTATTTGAAAAATATTGGTAATAGTCTTTCGACTTCATTGACAACCACCTTCGGCTTTTGAAATAGAAATAATTAAGTTCTACGTATGGGGAGAATTTCGATTTATTCCCTCAACGGCTTAGCCAGTGTGATTATACTTTCAGTGAGCTATTTTTAATTTCGTGTCATGGTTTTTATGATATACCGTCAGTTGCCAACAACTCTATTCTCAGTCGCAGGGCCTCTAGTTAATTCTATACAAACTTCATGGTTGATTAATCCTCGAAGAACCATGTTTAAGACTATGAACCGTTTAACTTGGAGAAGAAATTACTAAGTCGTGGGTGAAATACCTGTCAATTATGAGCGTGCACCGGAAAAAGAGAAAGTTAATGAATACGCATAGTAAGATAACATGCTAAGCAATAGACAGAGAGTAAAATTATCCCTCGACTTGAAGAGTGAAAATAAATTGATCCTGCCGAAAAAACTTCAGCCTAATCCTGCACTAACAACATCAATGCCGTCTGAGCAACAAGCAATAAGCGAACAAACAAACAAAACAAAAATTGGAAGTAAAACTTTGCAGGGGAAATTTTCGATCACCAACTTTTTCCTTGACCAGATCAAAATGAAACAGCGAGATCGGTCATTTCGTAAAATCGTTCCATATCGCAGTTCAAAAAAATCTTTACAAATCTATAAAGAGATCCTTGCACCCGCCAAAAAACTTCTAAACAGTCTAATATATTCAATTTTGGGGCCCCTCTCTTTAAATGAAGTTTCAGCCTAATCCCGCATTAACAACATCGATGCCGTGCCAAAAAAAAAAAAGGAAGGAAAATGTAACAAGGGAGATTTGCAATCACCAACTTTTTCCTTGGGAAGGCAGTTTGTAAAAATGGAACAGCGATATCGGTCATTACATAAAACCACAATTCAAAAAATATCTACTCTCTATTCAGGTCTGTAAATAGAACTGATGTATACACACTCTCGAGTATAACATTCGGTTAACTCGGAAATAATGGGATTTCGTCCTTGAATAATTAACAAGTAATAAATAAAAATATGATATTGTCTGGCTTTGAAATGAATAGCCGCGTGGTATTTTGAAAAATATTGGTAATAAAGTTTTTCGATTTCATTGACAACCACTTCGGTTTTTGAAATAAAGATAATTAAGTTATACATATAGGGAAAATTTCGATCCATTCCCACAACGGGGTGGCCAAGTTAACTATACTTCCAGTCGCCATTGTTAATACGTGTCGTGGATTTTATGATTAACTAATAGTTGCCAACAACTTTATTCTCAGTAGGAGGACCTCCAGTGTACTCTATACAAACTTCACAGTTAAAATTCACTCTGCTATAGATAAAAGAGAAGCCGGTTGTGCATAACTTAATTGCAAATTGTCTTTGTTTGTAAAATACAGAATGATCCTAGTACTGATATGTTGTGACAGATAACAAGATTTTGGGTAAACATGCAAAGAAAATAAATTGTACACTCTGCAGGTAATTGGAGCTGAGCAAAGGTAACCCATCACAGAATTAGACAAGCAAATAGTATGTTTGGAAAAGAAAATAACAAACCAAAATGTTTTAATGGAGTCGTGATAATTGTCTCAACTTTTCTAAAGGGATGCTTTTCTCTAGCCGGTGTATAGAATTATGCACATGAACAGAGCAACGAGGAAAACAAATCTCCATGAACAAGTTGGGTCTCTCGGTTCTAAACCATTTAACAAAAGTTTAGTACGTATTGTGTTAAGATTTAATGCATTATTTTATCATTTAAAACTATACCCGTAACCACTAGCAACAACGTCAGTTCAAAAATAAGACTGCACCGTAAGAGGCCCAGTGGTACAACTGAAATCTCATTCCCGTCAATTTGCAATTGTCGAATAAAAGGTTTAGAACTATTTTTCATAATTAAGCTAATGCTAACTTTAGTTATCATAAGATATAATTACACCTCAAATCATTGAATGTAACATAACATTTTCTTCAACGCTCTGCGGTATCTTTCCAATCGCCATGCGTACACAAAGGGATCGAGAACGAACTTGACGAAAACTAGTTGATTAAGCACTTTTTCTGTCAGTACAAGAGGCTGATACCGCTGACACCTAACACAATGCCCCGTCACATACCACACCACAGTTACAGGAATAATTGGGATGGTGGTCACCAGTGTAAACAAAAATATAATTTTACGCATACGTTTTTCCATACTTGTACCCCTCCTAATCACTCTGAAATGACGAAGCTGCAAATTCGGATTACTGAATGAACGCGCCCTTCTTCTTTCACGTTTTTTGAAGGCCTTGTAGAGGAAAAAGTAGGATAGGAGTAAGAGTGACGCCACCAAAGTCGTGTTCACGTACAGATCAGTTTTTAGGACCAAAGGCAATGGTATTCTTGTGAACAGCATTGAAGCAAACCCTATCTGATAAACCCACGTACAGAAAATTAGTACTTTAGCACGTCGAACAGTCATCCAATTCCGGTGTTTTATGGGCTGTGACAAAGCCAGGAAGCTGTCCCAAGAAAAGGCGCATACGCTAATTATAGACACGTTCATTGTAACGATGGAAAAGGCCGACATTACTTTCCTTAATGTCATCAGCAGAGGCCCCTTGCTGAGATAGAGGTAGTAATAGCGGTACGCCAACAGCGGTTGAAGGACGGCTCCGGTAAGAAAGTTCGCAAAAGCCATACTGAAAATAAAAAAGTTTGACGGGGTGCGAAGAAGTGAAACTGTGTTCTTGGTAAATATTAGGAGCAATATGCCGTTGCCCAAAACTGTCAAAGGCGCTAGACATGTAAATAAGATTGCGGACGGAAGGGGAATCATCTGATGTCCTTGGACAGCTTCAAGCTCTTGCTGTTGTGCCAGGGAGTAGTTTGCACTTGTGAAGGACATTCTTGCAGCACAGTCGACAATTGATGCTAAGTAAGAGCTTTGAAAAAAGTTATTACGTAAACAAGCGTAAAAAAGTAATTCGTTGTTAAACGTTCCGGACAGCTGTGTTGAATTTTAATTTCCCAAAACCATTGAAAGTTGACAGCTTTTTCCACCTCAGTTTTCAGGGTTTAAAAAGCTTGGATAAGAAACAAAGGAAGTACTTCATTTATGTAAACTGTCAAAGTCTACGCTTTTTGAGTCCATTGCATTTCATATACAATTTGTTCCAGGGGTTTATATTAACGAATACTTTAATTTTTTTTTCACTTTTGCTTTAGCTGTATATTACTTTCTTAGCTGGGACGAAAAGGTATAATTTTTTCTTTCTTTTCTCTCATCTTTGTCTCCTTTCTTTTCGGAAATAAAGCCTTCATAAGTAATCCAGTCAATTAATTGGTTACGTATTCAAGTGCATTAAACTTTAAATCGGTTGGTGCAACAAAGAGGATGCTTCAAGAGCTGCTTCCTAAGAATAGTTTCCTATTCGTAAAGCACTCAGATCGGATATTAAAACGCTGGGAACTTTAAAAAACATTGTAAAGCTGAAATGATGACAGGAAGCCGGGCTGTCATAACTGGCAAACAAATTGGATGGACAGATAATCGGTCGAAAACTAAATCAATTGAAGAAAAGATGAATGCTTTGTCTGAAAGCTGTATTTGATTTGTAAATCTCAATCAGAAGTCGACAAAACCTGAATAAAACCGGATCGAATTCAGAGATCAAATGAGATTCCTCTTTATTGTTTTCGAGTCCTTAACTAACCAAACTCTACTATAAATTAAGACCTATTTTCTATAAAAGCAGCCTCTATTCATTGTATTCACTCTTCTAAGTAACTACTTCTGTCTGTTCCAAAAGTTCAGAACACCAGAACCGAGGAACACGCCTTCATTAACGCAGCATCATGTTTATAATGGTAATAGGACCGAGTAAAGTCCAACTCGGTCTGTAATCATACGAGTGATTGACAAAATTGGACGGCCGCGAAGTGGGAGCCCAATTTGTCTGTCACGAGTATGATTACAGACAGAATTGGACGACGAAACATCCTGTTACCAATTAATCGCAATTGTTATAATTTCCGAAATAAACAAATAAATTTAGGTCAAAGATCTCTGGTAGAGACAATGTCTAAAGTTAAAAAAATTAAAAATAAAAATAAAAATTAAAAAAAAATAATAATAATAATTTTGGAAATTCTTCAACTTTTTTTAGGATAGGTGATTGTTGCTATGGCTATTTTAATCAACTCTGTGATTGGTGGATTAAGCTGAGTGGACTTTGTATGAATGACTACTCCAACTGTCCGATTACAGGAATGATTAGTGAAAAGTAAAGAGGCTAATGCACCAATCACGTTTGAGGAAATTGTAATGGTTATGATTAAATGGAAAATCAGGATCACCAAAGCAATCGGAGAGAATGAATTAAGGCTAAGGTTGAGAGTCTAGCCGGTAAGGATGCGAAGTACATCAGACGAGAACATAAAGGATTGTAACATGCGCTACGACGGGGCCACGCGAGGCCTTACGATCTTCGGCTCCAAACGGCAATTGATGGTAGTCCGATGAGGAGGAATGGTCGAAGGAGCTAAACTAAACTGGCCAGAACTAAGAAGGATAAGTGCCTACCAGCACAATTTCTGCTGGTATGAGCGATATACTATTCTGTGGAGTTTTGGATTTTGGTTCTGTTGATTACATTTGCGCAAACCACCATATTACAGTTGGAAGGCAAAAAAAATATTTTGTACCCTGACAGACCTGGACTCTTTTTGTCGTAGATGCACGTAAATAATTTTCAACACCGCGACATTAGCTAATGTCATTTTTGCATTGGAAGGAACTCGCTTTCTGTTCCAAAGAACATCTCTAGAAAGGCAGAACTAAACATTTTTAATCCTCTTCTAGCAAAAATTGTGAAAATGCTGCTGCTCGCAGTTACTTCATGATGGTATTCAAATCCCTTGCGTTGTATTATAATGTGTCTGATGGAGACATCATTTATAGGCAGATTTCTTTTCTAAATCGTACATTTAACTTTGTAACAGTCTGGTGCAACCTCGCGAAGCATACGCGGGTTATATCTCATTCGGACCTTGAGCTTTTGTAACGTTTAAACCAATGAGTAATTTCTCGATCTCAGATTTAGAGCAAAGTAGACTTGAAATAACTTGATCAGTAAAGGTTTGAAGATCGTCACGTAACTTCTCAGGAATACAAGGACTCTCTGTAAAAACCGATGAGAAGAAGTTGTAAGTTGTATTTGTAAGTTGTAATTGCTGTACTTATCGCAGCTGTTTTGAGTCTTTTGGTTCTCCAGAGATAATCCAGGTGGAATAGATCGTGATTTCGTCTTAGATTTTATGAAAGTCCAGAAACGTTTAGGATTATTACTGTCGCGAAGAGACTGAACATGGTGCCAATAGCTCTTGGCGATCTAAGCGATCTTTTCGGTAGATATTATAGTCAGATGACAGGATTTCTTGATCCATTATATCAGGGTTCAGCCATGTTTCGGTTATAGCGATGATTTCTAATACCTTTGTAACGACCATAGCTTGCAGCTCAGTTCTCTTGTTGATAATACTACGTGCATTTAGACTGCATGATTTGAGAGTCGAGGAATCGAGAGGCCGAGGGCTCAGTTGAATGTCGTTAGATATTAAAAGGAAAATAATGAATAGATATTTTCTGGTAGAATAGTGATGGCGGAGCATCGATTTCAGTTTCCAGATTTGTCGAACTTTCGGAGACTCATCCTTGGGAATGTAGCGGCCGACACCATTTGCAAATGAAGGCCTCTGATAGATAATATCATTTCTTGGGCTTTTCAGAAACACGTTTGCAAAAAGAAAGCGTCAGGAGAAACGAAATAAGCGGAGCCACATGGAGAGCGTCCACCATAGCCAATTACCATATTGATCTGTCCCATGATGAACAAATCAAAAAGAAAAAACAAAGCAAAACAAAACAAAGCAAAACATTGCGTACCCACTATGGTGATGTTGTAAAATGTTTGTTTTTATACAATAATGATCCAAATGATCAAACGCAAATTTTATTATCAATTTTTAAAAGGCCATCATTAAATCAAACACTCTTTATTTCGCCCTCCCGAAGCAGTTACAGTTTCACAACTGAAGGGCAATGTACTTCATTCTTATTAATGTAAAATCTTACCAATATACGTCAGGGACATAAAATCTTCACTACAGCCTTGATTTTATCTATTTTTCCATTCAAGTCCTAATAGAAAAATAATAACCAAACCTATGTTTGGATCGGCTGTCATTATGTAATTACAAATACATTTTCACATAAATCTATATTAAATACAGTTAAATTTTGAAAAAAAAATTTCTATGAGGACTAATCATGTTTCTAAAGTAATCTCTTCATATGTCACTGAATTCGTTGCTTTCAGCTGACGCTTCGCAAAAACTTACTCGCATGCAAACACCTCAACTCGTACATATTTCCTACAAGAGCCTCATTATAAAATAATCTCTATAAACCACTATTTAATATATTTAATGTTACGATGAACTTCTCCCGTAAAAAAAGAAAAATTGTATATACATTTAAGAACTATAGTTCTACATGTAGTACTAATAAGTTACCAATTAAATTTATGCTTACCTATTGATTTTCCTCTTTTTTAAAGCAATATTAACTTGTTTGAACTTCACGTTGATGAGCAGTAAAGCAATTTTCAATTGAATGTCGCATAACCAATACAAAAGCAACCACAAAAGCCAATCATAACAAAGAAAGTATCACAAGGAGTCGATGAGAACTCGAAGTATAGACAAGCAAACTGCCTGAAGCGCGGGAAAACGAGAGTGACCCACTCGCGATTGGTTTTAGTTTTTAATCTGATTGGTTGAATAAGTGGTGCGAGTTTTCTTGGCCAATCACATAACGAAGAAGAGCAAACCAAAGCAATCCCGGATTACGTTTGTGATTCAATTTAAATTTGCTTTAAATGCCCAGACATTACAGTCGCGACAAAATTTCCATCGTCACTTCTAGTTAAAGACATTTGTAGTCTTCTAAATTATAAAAGTTTAAATTCACAAATTACACAAATTGAACGTAAGAGGTTATTTCCATAAATAATCTCTTCTGAAAGCAATTCTTTATCACTTAAACATAATCAGTTTTATAAAACCAGAGATATAGAACATGCTTTGCAAGAGGTTAACAAGCAAAGTTACTAGGTTCCAAAAATTTCACCGTCTATTCCACGATTGACTATCCAGTGATAGACATGTTTGGTAAAAATAGTGTTTCTCATCGGTTAGTCTAGATTTTATCACTATTGGAACCAGACTACGTTTTCCAATTCACTAATTAGGGAAGCACAATAAAAATTATGAATTTCAAAATAGGTTACTGTGCGACACGCAAAAATTCACTTCTGCAGATTGGCGCATCTGTTGAGTATATCTGACATTGCAATAGTAAATTTTCGTTTCCGTGACTTTATATTAAAAATAACTAAAAAAAAGCAAAAAAATCGCACAAATTCTCTCTTTTTCTATCTAATCCTGATGGGAAGCTTAGACAAATCAACCCCTTCCACTTCAAAGATCTGATTACTGGTTCTCCTAGACAACAACCAAACCATTCTTCGTCCCAAGGTCCTAAGAATTTTACGTTATATTAATAATTTCCTAATCCTAAAAAGTATTTCGCGGGACCACCGATCATCGCTGCCGCATTAACTAGCCTTGGTCCATCGGATTTGTTTTCGCAGTTCTTCGAGTTTAACATATCCGTTTTCCCTGGCAAACCGTTTAACAACGTTTTCAAGGCTTGAAGTTTGCATAGTCATCAAACGCTGACAAGTAATCCTGGATGGCGTAATGGATGAATTTATATTCTCCCTAGAGAAAAAGAGTAAAAAGTCGTGATCAGGTGATCATTGTCCACACCACATGGAAGATTATGGTATATTCTCTGACACCAAAATAAAGAAAGAGAGAAAAAAAAAAAAAAAATATATATATATATATATATATATATACACACACATCAAATTTACTGAATTTAAGATGGTCAAAGACTTACCGCCGTCTTCACCAGTCCCGGCCGAGGAATTCGCATGGCCTTGATGGCCTGAAACACATCAACGACCTGTTCAATCTTCAAACGTTCCAGTACTGAGTACAATGCACAAAAAGTTCCACTCCGGCCCAGACCGTCACTGAATGTCAAGAAAGAAAGAAATTAATGTTAACAAGATAAAAGTTGTAACTTTAAGAACTTCCTATGTTACAGGCATCAGTAAATGGTGCAGCGGTCGTGCGCTTAGCCCATCTCAACCTGTAGCAAATCATCAAGTACGAATGTGAATGTGAAAGTGAATGTGTACTCCTACTAACCTGCAAACAACTGTGATGGGTCCATTCCCAGAATGTTGCTGCCATTTCTCAACCTTTGCTATCAAAGTGATCAGACCGGCCGCAGGAGGTTCTTCATTTTCATTCACCCATCCGCTGTATTGAAAAATCTTTATACGCAGACTCTTTTCTGGTGTCTGAGAGTATAAAAGCAAGAGCGTTTTTTTTTTTTTTTATTTTTTTTTTTTAAGAAGAATGACAAGAAAGATCGTAGTCCCTTAAAATTGAAAGACAGTACACACAAGAAACAAATCTAAGAGTTTGAAGTGTGTCGGTGTACGCTATTCATACTCACTCTCAGGTCAGTGGCTTTAAATGTCTTCTCAGTGATTTCACTTTGGTCAAAAGTTGCCTTCAAGTTATCCACACTGCTGCTGTTCGCAGCCAATCGCTGGACGGTCAACATGTCATCATAAGTCTTGGCATCAGTTTCTGAATCTGGCCAGAATTCTGGGAAATCCTGAATGGGAAAAGCGTTCGTCTTAAGAACTGAAATTTGTTCTTTAAAATAGGCAATACTTATCTCTTTTAGCAAACATAGACTCTGGATGCGGATCAGCTGTTTAGCAAAATCATAAATTTACATTTTCTTTGTTACTGTTTCTGTTCGATTATAAAATTTTATGATCCAAGGAAAAGCAAAAGCAAAAGTGTTTGAATGTGACAAATCAAAGAAAAAAAAATCACTCTTATCATAAACATATCCATTACCCCTTCTTGCTCCTTTGAATCAAACCACACAACACAGCAACTCTCTTGCTCACAGAGCATGCGCCAAAAGTCTGTCACGGTGGACGAAAGTGGATGTTGCGTGACAACAAAAGCATGTTGCTGCTTGTAGCCCTAAGGAGAAAAAGAAAGATACAGTCAGAGAATAGAAATTAAGGACTGCTTTACGGTGTATTATGCATTATTTACCATGAAACATCGATACATGACTGATATATGTAGATGGACATTGGAAGTAAGAGGAGGATCACTCACCGAAATGTGAACAGCATTTATGTACGACGTGGATTCGTTGTCGTCAATTGCTGTGAGCACCACTCGATAGCAGTCAGCTGCGTAAAGACAAAATTGAAAGGCAAACTTGGTATTTCTGGGAAAGAGGAGCGAGCTTGTTCCGTTATTTATTAGACATGAACTATTACAAAAAGAAATCACTTAACAAATGGATCACTTTCATGCTTCTGCTAAAATCTATACCAAACGATTAACAACATGTAAGGATGAAAACACATCTTTTCATCAAAACTAAAATCCAACTCACGAGCTAAGATGTCAGGTGATCTGTTTTTCTCCCTATTCTCTGGATATGACGCCACAGTGCAGTGCCCTTTGTGAAGAACTGGACTTACTTTGTTGAGTCTCTGAAACAAACAGGAAATAAAACAATTACGGAACGAAAGAAGGGAGAATACATTTCCAGTCTCTACTGAGGTGAGGACCTGACATAAAAGTAGAACGTCAGCCTAGTAGTATGTGAGTTCGACATTTGACTTCCTCTCCAGTCTGGTCGATTGCCATATAACTTTTTTAAGATTTCATTTGATTTAGAGTGGCTCAACAAGGTTGTGGTTCGAGCCACCAGAATTTCAGGATTCTAGATATCACACTGCCTTGAAAGGCAGAAATTATAATAAGGAGCTACGTGACCATACTTTGGGTGATGTTACTGTCACATAGGATTACTTCAGCCTTCGAATATTAGTGTCCAATTAAGTTTACTTCGAAAGAATCACGACTACACTACATGAGAACCAACAAAGATGTCTCAGGGAGCCAAAAACCCCCATGGATTGACGCTCGAGGGGTATTTTAGCATTAAAGTCTACAGGATGCACCGCTAATCGCGAGGTGACTTAATTTTGTGGGCTCTGAGGAAAGAAAAAATAATTATAGCGCCCACTTCTTTCCCAAACTTTTACAGTAACAAGGTTTTGTTACCTTGAACTCAGACTCAAAGCGAGTTATCTTTGTCTCTGCATCCACGTCACTCATCCGAGCGAGGGTGATCCTTAGGTCGTGAGCGTAGATTTGAGTGTTACCACACTGAACTGCTTCTAGAATAGCGTCATGGCAGAATGTGTATTGTTCCTAGAGGAAAGTTAAAAGAACAAATATTGAACTAAGACCGCAAGGAAAAGTAACAACGATTGTAACATGTTCTATGTTGTCAGAAGGAAAAGCATGTAACTCAACCCTGCTGCGTACTGCACATAAGTATTGACGAGTGTTGAACGTGACTGACGTTTACATATATCTGTGCGCTTCGTAAAATTCTATGAACAAAACCAAGAAATTCAAATCAAGAACAACAACGACAACAACAAAAAAACCAAATATAGCAACAATACTCACCTCAGTTTGAACCATGGCTGTTCTACGTGTTCGCAAGTAAGCCACAAAGTTGAAAATGTCTATTGTTCCTTCTGCTTTGATTCTGTCCAACATGGTATCGATAACGATGAAAGTACCTGTTCTACCAACTCCAGCACTAGAAAAATTAGACAACTATAAACATGAGAAAGAGCCATAGCCAAGCAAAATACATAAGAAGAATTTAAGAGGACAGACAATGATGCGCCAACCTCCAAATAGACAAATACAAAAACACTGAATGTAGGGACGACAGTACGTCATTAAAATCTAAGTGTACGAACGGATGGACGGATTTACAGACAGACAGGCCAACTGACAGACAAACAGTCAGAAAAGAGCCTTAAACTGGCAGACATCATACCTGCAGTGCACAATGGGAGGTCCAGCATCAGCCGGGTTATAAGCTCTGAGTCGTCTTCGAAAGGCCAGCAAGGCAGTTGGATATTCAGGTACTCCATGATCTGGCCACACAGTAAAGTGAAACTGTTTAACTTCTCTCTCCTCTTTTTCACTTTCCTGAAAAATACAGAACAAAAGAGAAGTTCAGTGCATAATCATCACGATACCAAGCAGTGAGTTTGAATTTGAAATCAGGTTAACTTAACATCGATACTGACCCGTTTGACGTTAAATGTTCTGATGTTATAATCGGAGTAATGCTCTGACCTGACAAGCATTACAGATATGTCACCGTAGTCTTGGGTCTCATCCGGCCAGTATTTGTGACACTTCAACTAAGGAGATAATGGAGAGAAAACCGGGTGAGACACACCGGGGTAAAAGAGTTTTACCCAAATAATCTTCATGTATTAAATTTAATAGATGGAATCCGGAAAAAAAACAAAGCAAAACAAAACACAACAAAATAAAAACAAAAACAACAGCAAACAAACAAATTAAAAAAAATTAAAAAAATTAAAAAAAACTAAACGAAACGAAACAGAAGTAAAAAAAAAAAAAAAAAAAAAAAAGAATAAAGAAAAACAGACCGTGTTCGAGCCTTGATCAGAGAAATGGAAGCGAATTCTAAATCAAGGCACAAACTCTCGATTGGTCCCTTGTTATACCCTTCAATAAGTTAAAATGAGTTACACTGGAAATTTGCTGAGGATGCCTGAAGTGAAGGTGGAGATAAACTAAGAGGGCATCATGCGTAAGGCAATAGTGTCACTAATGTCGCTAAATTCTGTAGAATTTGAAAATATGAAAGTACGATCTGCTTAGTTTAGGCGGACATTAAGATGTGATCTTCTTAATGAAATGCCGGGTTATTAATACTTTCTGACATCTCCTTTATGAGAAGAAATTAATTTTTTTGCGAAAAGACTCTACAATTTCATGGAAATAACTCTTCCACATACCTTATGTCTCTCTTGTAGATTAGTCAGCATAACTATTGTGGAAGACTGCTGTTCCCAGACCATACGCCAAAAGTCGTCAAAGGTTGGAGGCACTGGACCTAATGACCAACCGTAAAAATGCGTCAAAGGGCCGGAAAATTGTTCATCAGCGTGGATTAAGAAAGGAAAACATTCATTGACCCAAACTAAAGTAACATGTATTACTGAGTGGAAAGATCTGAGATAATCCAAAAGAGATTGGCGAGACCTTCCATAGGCCATTTTGGTTCTTCATTATTTAATCAATATCAAGAACTTTTGAACATTGAAAAAGAGACAATCAAACAAAGAAACATCCCGTACCTTGACAGGCAACGTATGCATTGGGTTTGTTGTATCCCTGGACATTGACAAACAAACAAACAAACAGGAAATGTTAAAAAAAGTAAATTAAAAAAAATGGAAAAAAAATCAATCGATCAAAATAAAATATAAATGAAATACAAATTGTTCCAGGGGAGGAGGGGGGGGGGGGGGGGGGGGGAGGAAATTGATTAAAGAAGTCACGTACAGGTGCAGCTTTGAAGTTAGTTACCAGTGCCAAAGAGCTAAAATGAGCCACAAAAAAAAAGCGTTAGGAGATATGAAATTCTAAAAGAGATGGCTGAAAAAAACTTGGGTTTCAACGAATCACGAATTCATGCCCCCTAGATACTATTTTAAGTTTTACTAGCATAAGTTATCATAGGCAAAGTCTCACTCACATCAACTCTTGTAGCGTTGATATAGTCTGAGCCAGGCTCTCCTTCGATTGGGGTCAGGACGACTCTTGAATGATCATCTGTGTAAAACAAGAAAAGTTCCTGGCTGGTAGGTAATGAGTCAGAAACAAACGAGAAAACAAAGAAACACAGCTGAAAGGAAGATATGCAACGATGAATGAAAATTCAGTCCGGCTAGCACCAGTTTGCTTAAAATCCTACTGTTATAGTAGTAGGTGATATACTTTGCACTTACACGCAATAATGTTGCCATATCTGTTCTTAGCCTTATTTTCTGTCATTAAGCCCGCATCACAGGCATACTCCTGGCCACTGTCAAGTTTCTATAAGAAAGAAAACAAGTCATAGCCGGTAAATAAAGATGGAAGAGAAGGACTACATGAGAATAAGGATGAAGCTAATAATCCCTGATTAAGAGGACGGCGATGATAGTGAGGCGGACGATAACGACCATGGCAATGTTGTAAGTCTTTCGTAAGAACACCAACTTCACAACATTATCGACGGGTATTCCTGTTGGCGACTGGTTGACGATGATGATGACGACTCATCATATAAGAGGTTGCAAGAAGAAGCAGCATGACGAGGAGGCAAATAAAGGGTTACGGTGAAGTGAAAACAGAGAGCGTAGACTTTAATTCAAAGTATGGATTGGCTCTTATTGCTTTCAGGCGACAAGGAGATATGGGAGGAAAAATAATTATGATTACATTGTATTCAATCATGTATCCACGGTCATCGGACTTGTGTAACTTCGCTACATGCTTTGCAAGCTGATCCACAAGTACGGGTGGATGATCTGCATCGTTGATGACCTCGCCTGGAGCTGCAAGCAATTTCTTCTTTGTACCTGCAATAGAAGTTACCAACTCTAAAACCCTATAGAATGTTGTTAAGCTTGTGGTCCAACGAACTTAAAAAAAAAAGAGTTAGAAGGAATTTCTCAACATCTTTTAAAATAAAGGCATGCTTAGGCGACAAAGAGAGTACCTCACTGAAAACGGCTCAGGACAAGCAAATCCAGCATCGGTTGCTTTGAAAATATGCTCAAAGTAGTTGTTCTTAGCTCTTTTATTTTATCGTTATTCTTTTTTTTAATGATGTAATAACTGAACAGTCGTGTTACTCGACCAATTCAGTAGAGGACTCCACCTTTCTCCTGATATACTTGACGTGCTCATAGAATCTCACATCTTAACACAACTGGAATTTCATAATTACACTCGCATCCCCACAAAAACCAGGACATGCTCACTTTAGCGAGGAGGCGACAAAAAAATCTTTTCTTTGCTATTTCCTTTTTTTTTTTATCTCACATTGAAAAGCGTAAGAGTAAAACAATGCTTTTTTGTTTGTTTGTTTGTTTGTTTGTGTTTTACGTACTGGAGCGCTTCAGCTCAAACTCCTTTCGCTTTCTTTTTTGTTTTTTCTGACTTTCCACATCAAGGTTGGCATTGGGTGGCCTGTTGGATCTGGTTTAAAAGAAGAAAAAAAAAGAAAAAGAAAAAAAGGAAAAGGAAATTTAAAAAAAGAAGCTATTTTCACTCATAAATATGTTGCAGAATTCCGAAGAGCGTGGAATACGTAATACTATGCTAAATTTCCACGCGCAATATCTCCGGATTTAATGATTCCGGTGCTAAGATTTTCCGAATTTCGCGAAAGATATCCAAGCCGGTAAGTTTTCAGGAATTTTCGGTCTACTGCCTCCTCTTCGACGACGTTATTTGCAGCTAGCACTTTCGCACTAAGCTGCTCATTGCCTCCTTAACTTAACTAAACTAGATAATGAGCGGGATAAGTAATTTTTAAAATGAATATCATGGTCTACGATTCAAAGCAAAAGCCGTTGGTATGTTATCTTCTTGACCACAGAATTCAAGAAAGAAATATTCATATTGCATAGCAACCGGTGCAACCATTCAGCGCAAACCTCTTTTGATAGTGGCAACTTTTAAACTGTGGGTCGCTTGACGCATTTCACTCAGTGATCATTGGAATTATTGTTTTTTTTTTTCGTTAATCTGGTTATTACCTTTGATACAGAAGAAATGCTATGATGGCAATCACGATAAGTATCAGCGCTCCCAGAACACCAGCGACTACACCAACGATGTTGTCACCCTTTTTAGCGACTGGCAACTCCTCTGCAAAATATGTAGCAACAATTTCTCTATTGTTATCTAAATCAAGCCTAGGTTTAGAATCATTCTAGAATTGGCGTGGTAATCGGTATAGGCACCATAATACAAAACAGTGACCGTCAAAAATGCCGAATTGGGTGCATGGTCGCTCCCGACATAGACAGTGTACAACCCAATATCAACACAAACGATAAGACCAATAAACCAAAACAAAAGACATTATAACCAAAGTACAAACCAGTTTCCGGCAGACTGATTGCAGCTGCTTTTCCTATAAGCCATTTCTGTACAAATAATAATAATAATAATAAAATCACCAGTTATTGAGATACGGCTAGACTGCGACAAAAAGAGACATCAAAGGTAAGGTATTGAAATGTCAAATCTTGAATACTTACCCCGTTATGTTCTGTGACTCCTCTTACATACACCTTGTAACGCGTCCCTGGCTTAAGAGGAGCATTCTCATAACCACCGTATGTCTTCCCATTTCCAAGAACAAACTCCACGGGCAGTTTTCGTCTTTCAAACACGGCCGCAATGTAGAAACGATCGCCATTTGTTTGCGCTTCCTCGAAGCCGTATATTTTCTCCGGGAGGGGGGGTGTTTCACGACGAGCTCTGGCTGATCCGAGCATTTCTACAATGATTTCATGCCGACTGAATGGGGAAATGTTTCAAAAAGGTAAGTTTTAATGTAAAGTAGTAATAATAAACAAGTAAGTTTGGTGTTTGAATAAAAAAGAGACAAATGATGTTACCATTAACTCGGCAGTGTCGCCCGGAAATATTGTTGGAAAATAAAGTTTTTGTGTCAAAGACGCAAACAAATTTGTTTATAAAATTACACACCTTCAGTCGTGAAGGTAAATATTTCTAGATTATTAACTTTTCATAGTATTCGCAGCGAAGTTTGACCAGTGTTCAATATGTTCAACCCTCTATGTACATATTCAACTTCTTAGACTAACGGATTTTCCGAGAATGTCCTTATCTAGGAATAAGACTGATGAATTTTTACCGATTATAGAATGAAAGATGATGTTATTCATTTAACGACAAAGGTATAGTTGGGAAAAAAAAACAACAAAACAAAACAAAAAAAAGTCTGAGTACTGAATTCTTCTGCAATAGGAGAAATCCCCCCCCCCCACCTCCCTCTCAATAAACGCAATCGTCATAATTTTCACTTTTGCTTTGTTTTCCAGTTGAGACCGGTCCCCCAATGAGGCTCTGCCTCCCCTTCTCCCTTCCTTATTGGCAGTCAGCTTTTCTATAGACCCTCTTTATAATCTGTTAGTGACGACTGATCCCCCTCTGTTCTCCGTTGAAAACCCTGTGATGGCGATACAATAATGACCGGTAGTAAAATTACAAAAGCCACTCTTACATACGGATTCCTTAACACTCACATGATCTCTCCGTTAGTGTCATCGGATGGCGATAAAGAGATCGTAATTGTTGTTGTTGTAACGTCAGCTTCGACAACTTGGGGGAGTTTGGGCGGAGGAGGTTCTGTAAACAAGAGAACAAAAGTAAAAAAAATGCAAAAATATGTCATCACTGAGATCCTTTCAGATGACGTGAGAAAAAAGATTAAAGATTAAACCGGACCTTTGGTCATCTAAAGAAATGAACAAACTAGTAGCCCAATTTACACATCCTAAGCAATGTACAAATCTTTACTTTTGCGTATCGTCCGTCGATCCGTCTGTCTAACGATCTTTCTGTCTACCTGACTTTCTGTCTGTCTATCAATGAGTCTGTCGATCAATGTATCTGTCTATCTATCTGTTTGTTTATCTATATGTCTGCATAGCTATATCTCTGTTAATCTGTCTATCTGTCTGTCTATCTGCCCATCCGTCCTTACGCCTGCTTGTGTCATTCTTTACCCACTACTCAAAGATTGAGCGAGTTGCTTGCTGACCCCATTCGAATTATCAAACTAAAATTCATCCCAGTTAAGTTGAGAACGAAGGAGGCACATGGCATTGATGCACTGGGCCAATGTTCTACAAGCTGAACTACAGTTCCAACATGTTCACACCAACAAACAAAACATTTTCACATACGTTTTGATGGTGTCTCCACCACCGCAGAATCACTTTTGGCTCCATACCCTTTGGCTGTTTTTGCTTTCACATAAACACTATATTGTGTACCAGGCTTCAACTTTTCCACTGATATCTCAGTGCTCCGAGAGGTTTCGTCTAAAACTATTTCATGGTTATGTTGAAAGGAAGTGTTATATGCTCTTTTACCCTCAAAGTATACCTGAAAATCGAGGAAGATACAACATCTCAGAGAAAGACAAACAAATGCAGTGGTAATGAGAAGGGGAAAATTTGCTCTGAATTCACAGAAAATTTACACACTTAAACTTCAGGGTTCCGATGGTAGGAAATGGGCAGTGGCTCCTTCCTTTTCTTACGGGTTTTTTTAATTTGAAAGCCTACATGTGTCATTACTGAAAAGAACATAACACAACGGGACCTGATGATAGAACCATAAACCTCCAAAGCGTGCTCGTCACTAGGGCATTATCCCTCAAAAATTGAAGCTTTCGATTACATGAGCATGACAAAAAACAAAACGAGACAAAAAAGCAAAGCAAACAAAATCAGACACTCAAATAACGCAATATGGCAATATCTCATGCAAAATTTACGAAAATCAGCTGATTTATTTTGGGCCTACAGGGCGTGAAATTAACTTTTTTTTTTCTGATAGCCACTTGGCTCCTAAATTTTTCAAAGTGGTAGCCAATTCGAAAAAAGTTGGTCGCTATTTCTAAAGACAAACAAAACCTCTTTTTGTGCTGTCAGCGTTCTAGATAGACCCTCTAAAATTAAGTTTAAAAAAAGGATCTTAAATATGCTACAAAGTGGACGCTAGAATGAATGATATTCAACGTTCAAGCTCACGTAAATCCAAGATTGTGTCTGGTTATCGATCGAGACGCATGTGCTGCGTTTTGGAAACCAACTTAACCAGGAAGTTTGCCGCGGATTTAATTTGTCTTTGCAAATCCTTTTAATTCACAGTATATCTCTAGGTAAGATTAAGATGAAGTATTCTAGTCGCCAATTTGGCGACTAATTTTCAGGATTTGGTCGCCAAAGTGAAACATTTAGTCGCATTGGCGCCTGTATTAGGCGCAATTTCACGCCCTAGCCTATCTTTGTTGTAGTTGTGGCTGTTGTTTAGGGTCTCACTTGACTTGTAAAAAATATCTTACATGATTACAAGATAGTTTTCAGCCAAGACTGAAATGTAAACTTGCACGCTTCGAGACCATTAGTTCGCCTGAATAAATTTTTAATAGGTTTGATATTGAACGGATTTTTGCAGTGTAGCTCACCGAGTACTCAGTGATAATTCCGTTGTGGTCCTGGGGATCCTTCCATGTAACAGAAATTCCACCTTTGTCAAGTTTCGTATTGACATCTCTGGGCTGACTTGGGACTACAACAAATCATAACAATTGCTTTGAGATCAAAAAATTGTATGACGAAGATACGGAACGCTTGTAGAGGAGTTAAATTGTAATCGGTGTGAAAATACTTGAAGTGTTAGTGTTCCCATGCGTGTACCATTCGCGGAACAGATCTAGATCAATTATTGGTGTCAATGAAAGGGTAGAACATTTTCGCGTGTGCGAACGTTGAAATAACTAGATGAAGTGCTTCCAGGCTGTCAGAACCAAAATTTATCTCAAACGTTAGAAACAGCGATACCAGCTAGTAAGTTACGGTGTTTAGAGGCGTATAACGGTTTTTGTAAATCAACAAGATACCCGTAAATGAAAAACAGGATAACCCGTAAATTACACGAATGCGTAGGTTCGTGCAACTTTTTTGGTCTTTGAAAAAATTTACTCGTGCTTATTTATTCCAAATTGCTCTCGAAATCAAGTGATTACCCGTACAAATGGTTTCATTTATTGAGAAAAGAAGAGAGGAGAGAAAATCTTCGACCAGCTCCGTTTAATGTGAAAAGGTAAGGACTATACCTCCTTCCTCTGTTCTTGCTGTGGCGTTAGCCAT